AGGGTCATCTGCACAAGTGCTACAAAGACGCTATGAAGAAACCCTATGCCACTGTGACATCCAGCCAAGGGAACTAGAATCTGCGGTTGCTGACAGAACCTGCTGGCAAGCCCTGTGCTATGAAGCCTCCATCAGCTTTGAAGACAGGTGCTGCCAAAAACTGATGGAAAATCAGAATAACACTCATAGTTGTTTTAACAGTAGAATTCCAGTGCCCCCATTGTGCTAGACTCTGCACTTCCAGACTGGGACTACAGAGCCACTTCCGTGTTCACAGATGGACTGCACAACAGCGTGTCTTCTTCGAACCTGAAGGACTACCTATTACCCTCTGAAAATCCATTTCTCTGCAAAACATTTTAGGCAGCTACCATAATTTTAAGAGATCGTTTCTTAATGAGTACTGTTTCTCATTTCCCAAACATCATACATCGTAACTGTCATCACTCGGGTCTGAAATCAATACCCTAACTCAGCATGCTTTCACTCAGAGGCCAACAGTTTCAGCTTTATTTTCAATATAAGTGAAAGAGCTTATATGGATATTAAGTTATTCTTTTATGATTTCCTAGATGGGGCAGGTGGCATAAACATTTCCCTTTGGGTGGTCTTGGGTGAAAGAGGCAGTTATAGTAGGCCTCTAGGATCAAAGCTGTGCCACAAATTGGCTATTTCTTACAAGTCAGCAACGTTGGTTGCTGAAAAGTTCTACTCATTCTAGCATTGAATCAGGTAGGTTTGCATTAAGAAATAGCAATCTTCTTGTATCAGATGCAGCAAAATTCCTGTCATAGAACTGAATAAAGTAAGAACAGAGTGGCTTCAGTATTATAAGCGCTCCTCTGATTGCCAATCTCCATCAGGCTAGCTTTGCATCTAATGCTGGGCTCTTTGAACAGGTGACAATTTTGCTTTGCTTGTTATAAATTTCCTAACTAAACTATTGGAAGTCACTTAGATTTGGTGTTGAGATCTTCTCTCTTCAGGGGATTCAACATTCATGCTGAAGCTTTCTCTTACTGGTATGGAATTAAGACTTCATGTTGATTAAGACAGCTCTAAAACGATGCTACTCTGAAACTATGGTTGCTCTAAGTCATGTATATGACAGAATAACTCAATTCATTTCTTATACTGCCTAAGAATACAGATGTATTCATGAACATTAGGGCTTCTGCAGCTTCAGTTCTCTGTATGAAGTTACATTATACTTATCTTAGGAGACAACAAGGTGATGTGATTTTTAGCCTAGCTCTGGGAGCCTATCGATTTTCTGGAAGCCTAAAAATAGGGTGGTGGCATAAGAGATGGCTTCCAAACAACCTTCTTCAATAGACTGAATATAATCTTACTCCCTGATCGCAGAATCCAATAAATTGTGGGCCAATGCCTCTACAAGATGGCATTTCAGAGAACTGAACTAATGAAAAAAGAAAAAGAAAAAAGGATGGTGATTGCTAGAGTGAACCACAGGCTCCAGTTCAGAACAGAGATTACTCTATAGCAGTGGTGAAAGTGAAACATTCTCTGCTGTACCAGTTGCCTTTCTATATGTCCTTTGTATTTTCAGGCAACTCAAGGATGTTGAGTCTATTACTTGCTGTAGTGTTTGCAAAACACTAGGATAAAATTGCTCAGGGTCATCTGACTTGAAGACTATGTTCAGTTCAGAAGCAGGAGCGCTCATGATTGCATCTTATTACAGTTGCTTGAGCATTCAGTTGTTGCAGCCCAGTATGTCCAAGTTTGTCTATTCTAGAATCTGTGTTTTATGCTCTGCTACAGGACTCTTCATTCCTAGATGACATGCAAAGGTTTGGGTTAATGATTCAGTAAAGAGAGGAACCCAGAGACAATGATGAAAGCTGATGTGGAACCTATTTTGAAGGACTCCTCTTTGGATCTGCATATTTAAGAACTTATATGCCAATCTCAGACATTTTATTTATAAGTGAGAGAATAGAAAAAAATCACCAGATCCTTTTGGAAGGAATGAATAATTTATAATTTTCTACATTAAAATAATATTCATGTTAAAAAATTAATTTAAAGTAAAATAGTCCTTACACACTTAGTCTTGTGTTTACACCATATATTTTTAAACATGAAATGAAACTAGGCTTAAATAATTTTGTTCAAAAGATCAGTTAAAGTTGTCATCTTAAAAGTACACATAGTAATCAGTCTCTTCATAATACAAATAAACTAGAAAATTGCCACCAGTATTGGGTCCTTACTATCTAAGGATTATGTGCTCATACAGGCCCCTTCACATTTGATATTTGTGCTCATCCAGCATCAGTGTTATGCTGCTGTGTTCCCATGATGTCATTCCTCTTTGGCAGCTGAGACAATTTTCTTCTGATCTGGCTGTGGTTCAGATTAAATTGCAAAATTTTCATTTTGCAATCTGTGATACTGGAGTTCTGTGAAATTTGGAGTTGGGTTACTTCCCCATTCATGGAAACACTTCTTTCTCAATTTGCCTTGATCAAACAAAGGTTATATATCCATGATATTAAACCAGAGAAGGTCCACAGAACCAAGCAAGTTTGGGATTCAGTTTCTAAAAAACAGCACTCTGTTTAAAGCAAAAGTGTTCTAAGAAAATCATGGGTTACATCCAAGAATTAACCTAACAATTTTTAATTATACAAAACATATAAAATAAACATACACATGTATACAAAGTTGCATATACATTTTATGTATACCCCATCATAATAACCATCTAAAATATATTCCAAAATTCATCATATAATTCAGATTTATAGTTGGACTTTGTGCATATATACCCAGTAAGAAGCACCACAGAGTTATATGGGGTCCTTTCCCATATATATAGTATGTATGTGAACTAAAGTTTTAGAATCTTGTGATGATTCAGAGACCCACTCAACTAACCATTTAAGTTTTAAGATTAGGACTTATATTTTCCCAGTATTATCTACAATACCATATCAGCTCTCAGATTTTCTTTTGCTAAAAATGTTTATCTTCCCTGGAGGTAAGGCTGCAGTTTTCCCAACTATCTTTTTTCAAATACTTTTGTGCACAGTGATATCCAATATTTTTTGCACAGCACGTTTAAGAGAATATACCATTCTAATGTTACTTGATCCATGTTTAATTGTAAACAAAAACCCCACAAAAGCTCAGTTGCTTACTGTGAGGAACAAATGGAAAAACGAGTTCATGAGTAATCTTTTCAGTTCTTCCTAGTGATGGGATTTACTCAGCCAAGCTGATTTCATTTTTTTATACACACACGCAGAGAGCAAATCGCATTATCATGACACTGCAAGACCAAAGATGCACAATGATACCTTAATACAGATTAGATAAAAATAGTGCCATCTAAATCAATCAGAGGATGATAATGCTGTGTAATCCTATGCTATTAAAGGATGAACCACAGAATACTAGTGAAACAGCAGCAGAGGTCTGTAGGAGGACAGATTTCCTCCTTTCCTTCCTTCTCATACACCCAGTTTTGAAATCCAGTTTCTAAACAAATACAGTTAGTATTTACTGTATACCAAAATGAGATAGGGTATATTAGTTTTTCCAAATTCAGATGATTTATAATATAAACCAACAGCCAGTCATTCTCTTAGTACTCCTTTCTCTCTCTTTTTTGAAGATGTCCTATCAAGAATACAAAGAAATGTTTCCATATAAACAAGCTAATATTTCTTCACAAATCTGTGGTTTCAAACAATTATATATAAATTTAATTAATGACTATCTCAGATGCAAAAATTTTAGAAACTATTCAAGCTCTTTCAAAAAATATTCTCTCTCCCCCTTTTAAAAGAAAATAGCAGAGATGACGGAGGAAGCTAAACAAAACATATACACGCAATGCATTATGCATATAATAATGGTTTTGCTTACTATACGTATAAACAATTGCAGAAATTAAGCAAAACATCGCTATGTCTTCAAGAGGGCTTAGGCTCATATGTCTCAACCCATAGGTCACCCTGTCATAAGCATACTGATTTTAAGTCAACACATTTACCAAAACAGTTTGTGACAGGGCAGAACTATGGCTTGTTCAACAATACATTTGTTATTCTTTGAGGCTTGACAAGGCTGTTTTTGCAGCAACAGACAAACATTACTCTTTTAGAATCACTGCAGGAAAGACTGCAAACTTCTGGGTCTGAATAAGTTTAAACTGCATGGATAAGGTTCTCAGCTATCATGTATTCATATTTTAAATCAAGGAATGAACATACATAGCTTATTTTATTTGGTCCAGAATGTGAGGCCCTCTGATCTTACATAAGACTTGCCATTACATCAAAACAGTATTGTTTAATGGAAAAAGTCAGGTCTTGCAGAATTTGCTGGTGCCAAAGATATTTTATATGCAACATTTGAAATACTCTTCCAGTAATCAAGCTCCGAGAGTACAACGTTCAGCAAAACAATCATTATTTCTTTTAATTATTTATGTAAGAAATGTGCAGGATTTCAAACTGACTATCAAAATATTTTAACACAATGTTATGGACCTTGTAAATATATTTTAGAAGAAAATTGTTCCAATTTCCCCTCAAGACCATATTTTTTTCTTTTGGAACTGCAGAAGGGTACTTCACTTTGCATTTTCTGCCATTTAAGCTCTCATTTTAAAAACCTCAAGCGCTACTTCTCTAAAACAAATTTTAGATATAAAAGTTTTAATATTGCTATTTTAAAACCAGCAATCTATTTATGATGGGAATGTACTAGAACTCTAGAAAAAGAAAAAGAAAAAAGAGGAGAGTCATAAAAGCAACATAAGTAAACAAAATGATGTTGCTCGATAAAATAGAGAACAGAAGTCAATCAAATGTAATAAAGTAAAATAAAACAAGCTGGATAAGTACAAAATTGGCTCTTTAAAGACGCAACTACTTAAGAAAAGTCATGTGATCTTGCACTATTCTTTAAACAAATAAAAATAAGCAGTAACTCTTTAGAAGAAAGTATGAAAATGAATTAGATACCTTATGTAAACACTATGCCCTCCACCATGGAACAAAGGTTGAATTTTGTTAGCCAACGCAAAGAATGCAACTAGATCAGTCTTCCCAAATTCGGTACCCCAAGATGCACTTGATTAAATTCCAGAATTTACAACCAGCATGGTCAATCTGCAAAATAAATCAACACGTGAGGCATCTCCCATTCTAGGAGGCTAACCCATATTTTTGCACTCCTTTCCTTTGCCATCTTAAATGTCAGCCCTTCTATAAGCGAGTCACATGTGGTAATTTTTAGGCAGGACTGTTATATTAGTAGAGATGAGCAGGGCATTGTTTTGAATACCATGGCTTCTCTTCCTGCTCGCATCTGAAATTAATCCTATTAAGGATCCCTACCTGAAAAACAACTAGGAAAAATGTCTTTTCCCATATTTCTATTTAAATGTTATACTAATACCATCCAAATAGCTGCCCTTATAAAAAAGGAAAATGTTGAAAGAAAAGTGCAGATACCACTTGCTGAGCATTCGTATTTTTAAGACACATCTGTTTCCTTCAAGATTAAAATAAGATATGCATGTAGTTACGGTACTCTGGGATTACTTATCTATGGCTTTATTTGTATTTGGAAAAGTAGCATTTTTCTTCCAACTTACAGAAGTCAGCACTATTGCGTAACACAGTAAGCTTCTTTTCACTTTTCTCTTGCAGTACACACAACTACTGTACCCTGGCTGACAGCTTCATTACTGATAGAATTTAGGTAACATATAGTAATCTGGTAAAAAAGTTTGACTCCAGATGGTTCAACAATAACAGGCAACCTGGTGCCCTCAAGATGTTTTTAGATTACATCTCAAAGGAATCACAGCCAGCATGGCCAATGCTCAGGGATATCAGGACCTGTTGCCCAAAATATATGAAGGGCACCAGGTTGCCTACCTCTTAAAGACAAGCAACCCAAAAGGCTCATCACCCCCAACTCAGAAATTAGGCTTCTGAAGCAAAGTAAGGTTGGATAAGACCAAGAATAGATATTTCTGTGAAAGGGCATACCATTTCTACTCCTGAAAACAAATTGCTGGGGTTAACATATGTTCCTCCCCCCAAATCACTGGTATTTCTGAAGGACAGAAAGCAGGAAAATTCAGTAGTTATGTATTTTTGGGGGAAAAAAATGTTTCTCCTTTCCATACCTGTTTGCTCAGCTCATTTCCTCCCTTGTATTTCAAATGCATTCATTTATATTCTCTTCTTGATAGTCAATCTATTCTCAAATTAAACTACTTTACCAATAGAGTGTCAACCTACTCAACAGCTTAAAATCCATTTTGATTTTAGGTTTTTATCAAAAAGACAACAGAAAATACCGTATGTAACCCATTATCAGATTTCATTATTATTGTATGTTGGGAATAGGAAGACTTTAAGTTTGCTGAATCTACTCTGCTTTTAAAAATACAATCTTGTGATCTGCCAAAAAGAGCCAGATGTAACATAGTATCTCAGAAAGACAGACACAATTAACATTCAGGAACATAACATATCTTGTTCACCTTTAGCTTAATGATTTGATCTCAGTACAGGGCTAAACTCATAGTCCTTCCATATGAAATCCACTTCTGGTTCTCTCTTTGGTATCTCCACCTTTTTTAGCAAGCTGGGTTAAGAGGAGATCTTTTGGTTACTACTACTAATAAAAACCTTGCAATCAGAAACTCTTGGGAATCTATCACAAGTCATTCAGAGGTCTACTAAAATATTCCAAATTACTTTCTTCTCATCTGTGCCTTATATTGCTCATCATAATTCTATCTGACTCCCCTGGCCACAACTTATTCACAACATTTCACATTATTTGCTTGTTGCTATGACTGCATATTATTTATTTGCTGCTACCTGTAAAAGAGACACTACAAAGTGCTTCCCTGAAACAAATTATAAGAACCCGAAGAGCATACTCTAATTATGCTTCTTGTTTACAGCCAGCTACACAGAAGCATATTCCCAAAAAAAATCTGAATAGAAAATTTGATGTGGGGAAGAAAACTTTAAAATATAAATATACTAAATAAAAGTTTCACCCCAATTAATTAATACACCATTGAAGAGATACACCTACATGAAACACTGTACAATTACAGAATTAAGGATGCAGGCAGAATTCCCCAAACCATCCATACTGAAATTCACCAAACAGCCTTTATCAAGTTCATACAAATGAGTGACGGCTTCTAATTCTTCATGAAGAACATAATCTTGTTAAAATTCCACGAAGCTGTATCCTGTCATTTAGCTGAAGTAAAATGGATGTCAGATTACAGCTGTATAGTTGTCAGTCGCATTAGTCACATCATTCCCCTCCCCCATCCACAAATGACACTCACAAAAGGATGCCTAATTAACACATTGTGTTGCCTGGGGCTTAAATAACTACTGATGTGCTTTTTTTTACCAATATACATAAATATGAATTAATTGACTATAATCCAAAAAAGTGTTGAATTCAATTTGCTGCTTATATATTTCATTTTCAAGGGTTAATAAAAGAGGCACCCAGAGTCAAGAAATGTTTTCTAGACTCGCCAAGAGCAGAAAGCTATGTCCGTGGTGTTAGTTCACTCTTGGGCAAAGCCTTATTATTTCTGCAAAGCAAGTCCTACAGACAAGCAAAGCTTCCTTGAAAGGAATGTATGGCTACAATCCCTCAGCCCCAAAAAACCAAAACAAAACCCAAACCCAAACCCAGACCCAGACCAGTTCCAAGCTACTTTATGATTGATTGATTGATTGATAAGACTTATATGGCTATCCATCTTATGCACCATAACCCTCCCAGCAATAATAAAAACATACAGAAAACAGTACAAACCAGGATCCAAATAAAAACAAATCCTGGCTCCCTAAACACACGCCCCAATAAATAAGCAATTACAGTCACTAGGCTCCAGCCTTATCCCATCCCAAGGCTTGGGGGAAGAGCCAGCTTTTTAAGGCCTTTCAGAAGGCTAGAACGCTGGAGAGGTGTTCTACAGGGCAGGGGCTGCTGTGAGAAGGCACACTTCCTAGATCCCACTAGATGACAACATTTAAGAGAATGGACTTGGAGCACATCCACCATACCTGGCCTGGTGGAATGGACGGATACCCTCATGGAGAGGCGGTCCTGCAAATAACTTGGGCCTGTGCCAGGCAGGTGTTTTGAAATGAGCTGTGAGAATAACCTTGAGGAACAGGAAGAAGACCGCAGCCAAAGCAACGATCAGATAAGAGAAAGACTGCAAGATTTCTGTCAGCCCAAGGTAGACCAGGCTTGAACACTAAAGTCTTGAATACTAAAACTACTTTTATGATGGGGTTATAGTAACAGAATCTTGCAAACCCCAAAGAGAACTTGGGAGGGTCAAGTCTGAGACGTCTCAAATTCAATTCCTGCTCTGAACTCAGATTTCTCTTATCTGACCATTGCCTTGGCTGCAGCAACTCCTCCTGTTCTTCAAGGTTATCCTCACAGCCCATTACATCTTTAAAGGTGATAACCAGCATATTGAATTGCTTCTTGAGAGAAACTGGAAGCCAGGACAGCTTACAAAACTATGGTATAATATGGGCAAACCAAAAGGGACCCAAAACCGTGCCCAATAGTTTCATGTAGATATTAAAGAGGAGTGGCTGGACACCTGAACCCTGAGGCGCCCTACACTGCAGGGCCCTAGGATTAGACCTCCCTCCACAATATCACCAGACCTGGCCACGGAGGGAGGAGGAGAACCAAAGCAAAACAGGGCCTCCCCCAAAACCTCTGAAGCTGGTCCAGAAGGCTACCATGGTGAATGGTATCAAAAGCCACTAAGAGATCCAGGAGGGCCAGGACTGTTGCACCACCACCATTTTCCCACTTTAGGGGATATTATCATGGTACTTTAGAAAAAAGGGAGGGAGAAATTCTCCAAAGATAGGGTAAATGTAGTACAGATTTATGCCTTTTACAGAAACTTGGTTGACCCCAACCAAGTTTCTGTAAAAAAAAAAAAAAAAAAGTAGTGTTCCTAATGACTCTGGTTAAAGATGTGTTGTCTTTAATCCAAACTTGTTGGGTTCCATTTCATTTGGACCCATTAGATACCCATAATATCTGCTGAATAAACTTTTTACCAAGAATTTAGGGAGTACTTTGTCTCCATTTTTTGAAGACTGTCCTATATTTCAAGAATTTATCATTGCTAATTATATCAAATTTGTCTCATTACTTTAAAACCTGTGATACTCCATTTAATTTCTAAAGGCACCTTAAAATACAACCGCACATGGTTCTCCCCCACCCAGTCTTTTTTAACAGACAAAGAGGGGTGGAGAAGAGGCTGGCAACTACAACTTTTGCTCACCCAGAAAGCCAGATAAAAATTGTAAGGCTGTGATACTGTTCCTTGAAGCAATGTCAATTTTTGCTATATTAACTCATTATACAAATGACTACACAAATGTGATTAAATAAATAAATAACTCACACTATTTATATGTGTCTTTTTCCCATCTGAAAACCCATTAAAAAAAATAAAAACTAGCTAATATAAAAAAAAATGTAACATCAAAAAGAGAAAAACAGTTGTAACAGTAACAGCAAAAAAAAAATAATTTAAAAACTCATTTATTTTAACTTGTCTGTGATAGGTGAACAAGAGGGATGGGGGCTCTATGATAATTTACTGAAGAAGGAGCATTCCAAATGAGGGTGTCATTATTTGCTCCATGAGGTTAATGACCTTACTTGGGAGAGGTAAATAAATCAAGGAGAAGCCATCAGATGAACTGAACATTTAACTCACAAGAAAAAGGTGTTTCTCAGTACAGTAGAACATTTTCCTTGTATCATGAAACAGTATCTTTTATAATGCAATATTGTGGACCACAGATGATTAAAACTTCTCTGGTTGGATAAAGTCAGGTATTCTTTACCCAGATGCTAGAGGAGAGACTGTTCACAGTCCACTTAGTGTAACAGTATTAGTAAAGTTAGCTTGCATGTCTAACAAATACACACACACACACACACACAATATGTCATATTCCAGTAAGTAGCCAACTAAACCATCACAGGGAGAAAAAAGCATCCAGGTCTGTACATTTGTGAGTTGTGTAACCTGTATCAAATCATAATGTGCCTTTTA